AAAGGACATGTTTTGCAGGTGCTGCGTGAGCACTGAGTAGTCCCAAGAGGAAGTGCTGTATGGATCGGTGGGAGTCGGCTTCGGACAAGTATGTCTTTAAGGTTGCGATCTCGTCTGTAAACTAATCTAGGTTTCTCACTAAAGATAATCTTGGTGTCCGGATCAGAGCGGAGGATGTCCCTTTGATGCGTCATTTTTTAGGGTTCTTTATCTTTGTCATTACTTCTGTTTTTATGCTGTTCAAACTACTATACTTTTTTTCGACTTTCTGTTACAATTATGTCCAACATTTCTTGCAGTTGTGTTACATTTTCAGTGACCAAAACAATATAGTCAGCGTATTGCAGATTGTTCACAACGTGTCCACCAACCGATATTCCTGGCATGCAAGGTTTGTGTCTAATTACTATTTTACTTTACAAATTGAATAAATCGGAGGATAGTAAACGTCCCTGGAAACGCCTTGTGCAATGTTCTGGAAAGTTCCAGCTAGGTTGTCAATTCTTATAGCTGCTTCTTGTTGCCGTTATTTGTCTGTATTGTAGTTATTCTCAGATCCCTACCATCAATGTTTAATGTTTCTAAAATTCTAATTATTTCTACATGTTTCACTTTATCAAATGCTTTAGTGTAAACAATAAAGCATAAATACAGATCTTTGTTCATTTTAATCATTCTTTCGATAAGAAAAATATGTCGCTGTTTTCCCTTTATCTTCCACAAACAGTCTCGCCAGTTTCTGGCTAAAGTTTTGCATATTATTCTTCTCGTAACAATTTTCATGAAAATTCTAATTTTCGGTGATTCGCCCCAATCCACTGCACCAGGTGTTTTTGGTAGAAGTATGACAAGAGATTTCGAAAAGTCATCAAGTATGTATCCTCTATTATAAATGTAGGTGAACAATTTTGTCAACATTTCTAAACGCAGTTCACCAGCAGAATTCTTCACTCGTGAAGCTACCTGGCCTTGGACATGTATATTTCTTCTTGTGCTGCCAGTATTTGTGGTCCTTCACAATACTCATAACTCTCTTTGTCTGGTCTGCTGTTATCATCATATAGTTCTTTCATATATTGTGTCCATCTTTACATTATCTTTTCTCTATCCATTAATATTTGTTTTGTTTTCAAGCAACTAGTTGCTCTACATTTCATGAACCTGACAGTTCTTGTATCCTTGTGTACATGTCTTGTGTGTTCTCTCTTTGTTCTTTAAGTTCTATGCATTTATTATTTAGCCAACTTTTTTTTTCCCCGCTGCATTACATTTATGTACAATCTCTCTGCGTATTCTTTTATATCCATCTTAATCGCGTTTACTTTTTCTTCTAATCCCCATCATATATAACATTTTCTGTCATCCATATCATCTTTGCCTTCTTTACGTCTGGTATGATTTCTACTGAGTCTGTTGTATTGATACTTTTTGCATTTGTCATTGTTCATCTAAACTGCTTATTCTTTTTATATTATTGTGTCTATTTTGTACAGTGATGGCATTTCTCTTAATCATTTCTCAATTTGATTTAAGTGTTGTCAAATCTAGCTTGGTTTTACTTCAAGCCCCCCCCCCCTTTTTTTTTTTCCCCCGTTTATTTTTTATTTTTTTATTTTCGTCAGCTTTATTCTTAGTTTTCCAATAAATGACACATCGTCACTATTAGTCTGCACCTGGTCTTGTTTTTACTGATTGTAAACAGTTTCTAAATCAGTTGTTTATAAGTATGCAATCAGTCTGGTTCCTAAATTATTTCTAGAGCTTTACCAAAAATAAGGCGTCTAGGATATTGTTTAAGGTTAGCATTTCTTCTTATTATTGTATGTGACCTATCCCATAGGGACAGTTTTTTTTTCTCCTCTCCTTTCTCTCCCCAAGACACTATACACCTGCAATGTTTTCATTCGGTTCTTGTCTACTTTTGCATTTAAATCACCTAGCACTTAAGTTGTTTTCCGTTTGTTATACTGGACTATTATAACAACGTACACTAATTTGATTACTATTAACATAAAAAAAATATGCAGGAATAATCCAATTATATCTGTATTATGGTAACTAAAATCTTCTTCTTCTTCATGTTCGCGGGCTATAAACTCCAGTGGAAAGTTCTGGTTGTTCGTCCACCTCCGGACTTTAGTCTTGTTCCACAACATGAGTGTTGCTTGCACATCCATTGTAAAATTCTGGGTTATTTGCATGCAGACTGTTGGTTCCTGGCCTCACAAGCAAATTCACTCCGACTTCGAAGGATGCCCCCAGTTAATCGACTGATACGACATGCTTGTTGGGAGACAGTGGGTCTCGTCTTCCCCGAAATGAGGCCCTGAAACATACACGGGGATTCACTAGAATGAAACCAAGGGACATATCATCATCGTAATCATCATCATAATCATCATCATAATCATCATCATAATCATCATCATCATCATCATCATAATCATCATCATCATCATCATCATTATCATCATTGTCATTATTGTAGTTCTTCTAAGCTGCTGGCCTTTAGTTTCTCAACTAGTTCTTAGACACGTAACGTGAAGGGCATCTAGTACGTACCTGTAGGACTTAAAGAAACACACAGCGAGCCGATTCTGTAATTTATTTCAGGAGCGCCAACGCAAAGAAAACTAGACAAAAAGGCCTTGGGCCTTGCGTTGGTTTCGTCAGTGGTATCGAGAAGCCGACCGTAGTGAAGCAATGGCAAACTACTGGACGTAAATTTGCCTAGAAAACCCACAACAGCCAATGCTGGAGTTGGTTCTGCAACGTCCTATAAAGCATACGATACGAAACTAACTTTGATAGCAGCTTGACCCCCCATACCAGGGGTTATGACACTACCCATCTTGCAATACCCAAAAAAATTACATCTGCCTCACTCATATCTTCGACGCTGTAAATTTATTATATCGCAAACACAACTGACACTTTTTCACAATTACCGGACTTATTTCTCTTCATCGCCCACACTTTCATACAATGTAACGCTAAATAATTTCTATGATGTGATCTTTCCAGCAAAAACACCATCATTTACATCCCCATATTTACCGTCCTTGTCCAAATAAATCATCCCCAACATGCTTGACTACAAGTTCTGGGCACAAATGCTGAAATGTCGATCCATCTTTACTCGATCATTACAACATCGAGCGCCATTTCTGAATAAATATTATCACAGCTTCTGTCTCTTTAGCGCATTCTATTAGAATATTGCATACAAGCTGGTACATAATGGTTACAGTTAGCCACATCCAGCAGGGTGAGGTAAAATCTTACATCTAAATTGCCTCAATTATGTCTTTTCTGTTGACTAAAAATATTGACAATACAAAGCCAGCCTACGCTAATTTCTCCATATAGATGATTTCAGGGCATTTGGGCTTGTTGTTTATTTGGCATCGGCTGAGCTGTAATAACTGGTTGATTTCATTTCTTTTATTTTTAACTCTTTCAATCCCAGAAGATTTCGTAGCTGATGGTCCAAGTGGATCTGTCATCATCATCAACATCGTCTTCATCAATGACTACTCACGATCAATATTGCGGATAGGCGGCTTCACTGTTTTTTTTAAGCTGCGGCAAGTTTTTGCTTCTGACAATAGTTAACTGTTGCATTTCCCCCATATGTTGACTAAAAATATATAGTTCCGTCACTAAGCTAAAGAGTTAAATGCATGGCGCTACACTGTGGGCTGCGGATTCCAGTTGGAATGCTTTTCAATAGTGCCCAAGGTGGTTTGTATTACCAACTACAGGGTAAAAAAATGGCGAGTGGTCTGTTGCCAGAAAGACTTGTGCAGTTAATTGTGTGTGCAACTACTGATCTGTAGTAAAAGTTGCTTCCGTTGACGATGAGCTGCACCTTTCAATGCGTGTGGAAAAATAATGGTAATCAACTAAAAATGTGTGACCAACATGAACCCCTCAGGGTTTTAATGTGTAGAAACATGGGAAATGGATTAAAAAGATAGGGACATTGTCTGATGTATAAACAGGGAAAATCCGGATACAATGAGAGGGCAACAGAAACCCCCATTGTTTCTCATGCCCAGACGTTAGTTGCGTACCCTTTACATGACGTTGCAGAAGCAACCCCAACAATTTTTAGCTGTTGTGGCGTTTCTATGCAAATTTTACGTTGAGTAGTTTGCCATTGCCTCCTAAACGGTACCACTGAGGAAACCAATGTAAGACGAACCGTCTACAGCTGGGATTGAACCGTTGGTAACGCCTAAGCCCCAGACACTGACATGCACACAAATAAAGAAGTAAAAATATGCTCATTATCATCATCATTCAGCAGGTCCCTTAAAGATCGTCATTCCTTCAGCACATGCCTGAAAGTCTCTCTTTCTATAGATAATTCTCCAGCGCTATGTGTTTTCATAGCCAGTGCACCGGGGTAAGCGGGCTCCTCTGTTGTATCATCTGCTATTAGCCGCAGCATCACAGAGCAACGTACTCACCTGGACCAATCTAAAATATTGCTGAAGGCTAAGGTCACCGTCATCATCATCGTTAGTTTTGGAGGGGAAAAAATCGTCACTGTTAACCAGCTTTCCACGCTGGTGGAGCTTCAGGTTAAAATCGTGACTAGGTTATGTGCGCCATATAAGATGGCTTAGCATTGCACGCCACTGAAAGCCTTGAAAAGTACTCCTGCAGTGTTGATGCGATCAAAGGAGACAGACCCAAATACTGTCCCGACCTGCGACGAAGTCGTTTAACGACGAGCAAATGACCAACCCGGTCGAAGGCTGAGATTCTCAGTGATGTCACCCACTAAGTGCCATTTGGTCTATAAAATATAGGTCTAGCCCTATATACCCATTACGCCTGAAAAGCGTTTAGAAGGGTCCTCTATGTATAAACGGGAAACTACCACGTTACATATTCTTTGAACTCTAAACGGAAGCCGAAAATTATGCGCCAGTCATATTTCCATTGATAAACAAAGGGACTGGCAAGAGCTCCTTGGCATGTTACTCAAGCTCACACTTCAAACTGTTACATTTTTGTTCCCCTCCAGGTCAGGCAGTAGTTGTCAATGCAGACCTCAGTCTCCGTTCTATGGGCCCAATCTCGGAGCTGGACATGGTAACATTGCATTTATATACCTTTATGTGTTGCTGTCCTAGTCGTGTTGTGAGTTAGTATACTGACTTATCAAACACATATGAATCCGGTGTTCAATATCCGATTGTGAGGTAAACAAAAAAATCAAATTTCAGGCCTTATGGCGTATGAAACATATAGGGCTAGACCTATATTTGATAGAAACTGCTTATCTTCGACAACTCCTAAATGTATCAAAAAGAAACAGCATCAGAAATGTCGATATCAGGAAACAAGATGAGACGGAACGGTGCTAAACTAAATTAAGAGACAGGAAAAAAATGGCATGTGTTAAACTTACATAAGATAGAGCATCCCAGAGAATCCTGTCAGGTTCTTTAACAATACCTTACCCCAGATAACGTCACAGGACTGTCTAACATTTTATAGTGTGGTAAAACTAGGTTTCCCGGTTTTCTGATGCTTTTAACGACCCCAAAACATATAGAACTGGCCCTAACCCCAAACCACCTACGTCCCACGAGAGAGTGCAGCCTAGGTCCCACGACAGCATGCAGCCTAGGTCCCACGACAGCATGCAGCCTAGGTCCCACGACTGCATGTAGTTTATCTACCACTCCCTGAAATATTAGACTGTCCCGTGACCTGTGGATTTCCCATGTATGGGGTAGGATATTAAGAAAGCACCCATTGTCACTTTAAAGCAATGGAAGCAGGATAGAGGTCGTCCACATAAGCGATAGATAAACATGATATTTGAGGTCTCGAATACCAGTATCTAATAAGCACGCACAAAGGCTCGAAGCAGATATCTCTTCGAAACCTTACTCTGAAAGGCGAAAAAAAAAAAAACTAACGTAAATAAGAATGAGGAAGAAACAACTTTAAGATGTCCACAGTAAATGGGTGGAAATAGCTGAATGATGTTTTTGGGCGAAACGGAAGAGGTTCCCAACAATCAAAGAAATTATCTCTTTGCTTGCTTCTAAAGATAAGGACTGCCCGTATATGGGAACTTCCCAAGTACTGTGATGTCGTTTGTTTTTTAACTCAACTCATTCGTTAACCCCTTTCATTTCAAACTATCACTTAAAGAAAATAGCATGCATGGAATTCTAATTGCTGCTTGCTAATTTCAGATCTACACTCTAGACTGCTACTTCCGTCAACGGTGGATAGATCAAAGGTTGTCCATGAACATCTCCATCGAAAATCTAACCCTAGGGATAAAAATCCTAGAGCGGATATGGCACCCAGACACCGTGTTCTACAACGGACAGAAAAGCTACTTGCATGCTATAACGTCATATAACAGATTTCTTCGTATTGGCGCCAACGGAACAGTCCTGTTCTCTCAGAGGTAATAATTAGGTTACTATTAGTGTATGCACTGAAGGTTGTTTGTTAGTTGATTGATTGGCGTGTCGGTTGACTGGCTAATGAATCCTCCTAAGTACTCCTAATTTCAACTCCTTGTTTGTCAATGTATTATGATTTAGGTAGATTTAACTCTGAAAAGGATTGCATTCTTTGCAATAGACATGTAGAGATTCTTCTTCTGTCTATACACCTGGTCATGCGTTCGAAAAGGGCTATGAGCGAGCGGACCAACTGGCAAGCACTGCACTAAGGCATGTGGGAAGAAGCATGGACATAGATTCGTGAACACGGTACGGACTGGGCTAGTGGATAATGAGAAATCCCTGACACTAGCACGATTGCGTGACTTTGAAGTAAAGAAAGGTGAAGCACGTCTATGCCGTCTTCGAGACTGAGACAGGAGACAATATATGGAGTGGCTGCTGCATCAGAGGACTGAGCACGCATATGACTGCCCAATGTGCAGTGACGTCGATTGTGATAACATAACATAACGTAGCATAACATCTTCTTCTGTCGCTCTACTAAAGTAGAGTCGACCACCCCACTTTTGACATGCACCCATCACCATACTGGACTTTTATTCGCCTATGAATTTCTATAGGTTTCACCCCTGTCCTGATCAGAAAACGGATACCAGAACATTGATCCCCTTTGGTGTATGTCAAAAGTGGGGCGGCCATTTTTAAACTGTCATTCTGACGTCAATGTGTTCGTCAGCATCATGATATCACGGTTTAACACTCTGAATATCCTTAACAAAAATATTAATAGGTTACAATACAAACGCAAGGTTACTGTAATTTTTATTCCACTTTAAATGTTTTCACTCGAATCCCCCTCGTGTATATGTATGTGTATATGTGAACATGTGTGGTTTAAAATTAATGACCATGTACTCCTACCATGTAGTGTAATATGGATATGCTGCTAGCCATATATGTTTAGACTAGTCAGCATTTACTAATTCAGAGGTTTTTAACCTTCCTTTTTTCAGGTAGCATCTCCTTGAATATATGACAAAGCCCCCAAGTCCCCCCCCCCCCCCCCAACATACCCCTTTAAACATGTGATTAAAAAGCTGAGGCTGAACAGAAAAATCCCACGCACTGTTAACAAGAACTTGGATAAAAACATCCACATGAATCGAAACGGCAAATAACATGACCGAAACAATCACTAACAAATGGTAATTTAAACAACACAAACATATGTGATGGTTGACACTGTTTTGTCTTGATGATATCCGCTATTTTTGGTCTGATGTGTAACAAGACACAACAGAGATCACTTTCCGCATCAAGCTAGCACAGCTGTTTTGTTTTTACGACTGTTATTTATAATTTAAAAAGTTAGTTGCGTATCCTTTACAGGACATTGCAGTACCAACCCCAGCATTTTTTTTTTCTGCTGTTAGGGTTTTCTAAGACAAATTTTACGTTCAGTAGTTTGCCAGGCAGGTTTACGGTCAAACAGATCCTGTACTGATCAGATAGCCACATTACGTTTTATATATAATAGAGCAAAGCATTGAACTGAACTCACCACTTTACATTGGATTTATAGACTATGAAAAAGCATTTGACAGCATTGATAGGGAATCTCTCTGGAAATTGATGGGGCACTATGGAATCCCACAGAAAATTATCAACTTAGTAAAGGCAACATATAAAGACATGAAATGTCGAGTTCTTCATGAGGGAAAGCTAACAGATGCATTTGAAATAAAAACAGGTGTGCGACAGGGATGTCTTTTGTCGCCTCTCCTATTTTTACTGGCTATAGACTGGACTATGAAAACAGTAACTGCTAACACCAAGAATGGAATTCAGTGGACCCCTACAAAACAGCTTGATGATCTGGACTTCGCTGATGATATTGCCCTTCTGTCCCATTCACGGAATCAGATACAAGATAAATTAAATATACTTAATGCGAGATCATAGCAGCTTGGTCTGAAAATCCATAAAGGAAAGACAAAGATAATGAGAATAAATCAGGCAAATAGTAAAGTGGTTTCTCTTAATGGCACCCCACTCCAAGACGTGGAGTCGTACACCTATTTAGGCAGTAATGTAGATAAAGATGGAGGAACTGATAGAGATATTAAAATAAGAATACAAAAGGCAAGAGGGGCTTTCATAGCACTAGGGAATTTGTGGAGGTCAAAAGAAATTAAAAGAAATACTAAACTAAAAATTTTTAATTCTAATGTCAAATAAGTACTATTGTATGGGGCGGAAACATGGAGAACAACGAAGGCAATTACTAATAAATTACAAACATTCATCAACTGATGCCTGCGCAGAATAGAGGGAATAAAATGGTATGATAGAATAACTAATGTTGAACTTTGGGAGAGAACTAAACAGGCTCCAGTGGATTAGGAGGTGAGGAAAAGACGCTGGCGTTGGATAGGGCACACACTGAGAAAACAGGAGAACAGCATAACTAGAATGTCTTTGCATTGGAACCCACAGGGGCAAAGGAATAAAGGAAGGCCAAAAAACACATGGAGAAGAGAGCTGGAGAATGAGGTTAGAAAGATTGGGAGGACATGGGAAGAGCTCCATGCAATGGCGAAGGATAGAACGACTTGGCGTGAGTTGGTTGAGGGCCTATGCTCCATTGGGGGATAGAAAGGCAGAAGAAGAAGAAGAGTTTGCCATTGCTTTTTAAACGATCCGTTTTCGGTACCACTGTCGAAACCAACGCAAGACAAAGCTGTTCGCAACGCCAAAGCCACAGACGCCGACTATTTATAATTAAACTAGAAAAGGGGAAAAAAACATGGTTTAATATCTTAATTGCAGGACGCCCATATAAAACTTTAATGCACCCCTACGGCGGCATACCCATTGGTTGAAAACCTTCGCACAAGATGATGGACTGCCAAGCTAATCGACAAAATATTGAATTGCCCCACTCCAAAACGAAGCGTAAAAAAGCTACATAACCAAATAATGCCTATATTTCATAACATCGGTGTCATGCCCATTTATCAAGTTGATACACCAGGCATAAAGGCAATTTTCGTCTCCACTAGAGCATAAAATCGTTTCACATATGACTGCACACATGCCTGCAGTATATATAGTCAACAGGGGGGAGGAGAGGAAAAAAAAAAGGGGGGGGGGGGGCTTTATTGCAGTTCGATGTTTGCGACTTCAGTTTGGTTCCTTTTCCTGCACAGACTGTCACTTTTATTAATATTGTGCAAATCGTAGCTTTCATTTCCAACTTCAAGGAGCCGCCATGGTTTTGCTGCTACGTATTTCCTTTGCGGATCCGGAGCTCGTGGGTTCAAATCCTCAAATCCCAACAGAACCTGGCTATTTTCTTCCTCAATAAATGAGTTTGGCTCCAAGGTGGACCGAGCCTCAAACTGGTACAATTAAGTCCTAGGAAGTAAAGGCGACCGGTGTGCTGTTGACCACATAAACAAACCGAGTGCGAGTTGTTTTATAAAATGTAGATCTAGCAGTGCACGCCCAGTAGGCCTGAAGGCGTGGGAAAGGGGTCCTTTACTTTGTGCACTTTTGCTTGTTAGTTTCTGATAAATCAGCCATGCAGGCGATTCGGTAGCAGAGCGATTTGCGTTGATTTCAGCAGCAGTATGGACGTCGTATCCTTCAGAAAAGAAGTAAACTCATCATCAGGTGCCTTGCCGACTGGCGTGGGCGATCAGGCCTCTCCATAATCTGCGATCTCCTGCAGCATGTATCAGTTCGTGTGCCGATACACCTCCATGCCCTGCAACAAGACTGTCAAGCATCTTCTCTCGTTGTCTTCCTCTATCCCTCCTTCCACAGATCTTTCCAGTGGTCACAACATGTTCTATTGTCCCTCTTCTTTAGTAAACTACTAAAAGTAAAATGCCCTTGTAGGGAAAATAGCAAATATTTGCACTAGCAAGCGTATCACATTCACGGTTTTGTGAGCTTGCACTTTCCCTTACAAAAAAAAAAAAAAAAAAAGCCAGTCTTAAAGGTCATAAAAAAACAACAAATGAAGTGGTCTGGACACCTAACAAGAATGCCCCGATACTATCTGCTACAGCGAGCAAAACTAAAACGTTACAACGGATATAGGGCGAGCGGAAGACCTTGATAAATATGGAGTGATGGCATTAGGAACAGCCTTACAGAAATGAAAATCAGTCTTAACAGTGCTCTTGACAGAGCTCATCAACGAATGTTACATCTCCCCCCGATACTTCGCTGAGGTATAAGGTGGAAGAGAAGAAGAAGACGAAGAAGAAGAAGAAGTACTTTCCCTGAACTAACGTGAGTCGTGGACTATGTCGCAGTCCTTCTTCTTCTTCTTCTTTAGACCAAAATACTGTCCCGATCGATGTCGAAGTCGTCTACCGGTGAGCCAATGTGCGGCCTGGTAGCCGATTTTCCGTGTGGGTATATGATGCCAGACTCATGTTTTTATAGACCAGTCAGTACTTGGCGGGTGATATGATCATCATAATATCACTCTGCCTTTGTTTCTTATGACATTACCTTATAAATGATTTAGTCTTAGTCGACCTCGGAGGTAAGGTAAATAGGGGTCATCGAGAATGATTGTAGGGATTTTTGTTATTATATACTACTATACTATATATTATATACAGCTAAAGTCAAAGCGTCTGTCTCGCAACACCAAGATCAAAATATATAAAATGTTGATAAGACCAGTCGTTTTATATGACTCTACAACTTGGAGCACAGCTTAAAGAGATGAAGCCTACTTACAGGTTTTCGAAAACAGTCTTACGACGAACCATTGTACCCATCAAAGATGCAAAAAGCGGGGAATGGAGAGTGATAAGCAAAAACGAAATTGCTAATCTGTTTAAATCACCCTTGATAACTGGCATCATGAAAGATAAAAGACTGAAATGGTTGGGGCATATTGAGAGGTTGACAGATGATAGAGAAGTAAAAACTGTATACACAAGGGAGATAAATGGTCGTAGACCACGAGGCAGACCCAGAAGACCTTGGAGAGATAATGTCTAGACAGACCTGCAAACGCTTGGTGTCATCAACTGTAAAGATAAGGCCAACCAGAGAGATGAATGGAGGCGGGTGATATCTGCAGCGATGAACCTCGAGCCCTCGGAATATTAAAGAAGAAGAAGATTATATACTACTTGTCAAAAGTCAAGGGTCACTGTAAATCAAGAAAAAACGAAATCCTTGTTTCAAACAATAAAACTAATCTGATATAAACCCACGTTAGGTTTGTTATGTATATTTATCTATAACAGTGAATTTCAAGGACTCGGGATGTTGAAGAAGAAGAACTAAAGAATATTTCATTAATTTTGTGATGAGGTCTGTTGTGCTCATGATCTCTCTGTCTACAGACTAACGATACAGGCCAACTGTAGGATGAACCTGGAGTACTTTCCCATGGATGTTCAGAATTGCCCATTACTGTTCGGAAGTTGTAAGTTGTGATTAATGTGATGTTTACTAATTGTCATGTATTAACTCAGTAGCGCCAAAAAAACCTTAGAAGATCATAAGCTTATTCAAGCCTCCTGCAAGAGTCACAATAGAAAACATGTGGGTACTTTCCAAGCAAATCTCTCTCTCTTCCCCCCCCCCCCCCAACACAAGATTTTTACAGGTAACGGGACAGTTTAATATTTCAGAGGGTGGTAGATAGGCTCCATGCAGTCGTGGGACCTAGGCTGCATACAGTCGTGGGACCTAGGCTGTACTCTCTCTTAGGACGTAGGCGGGTTGGGTTTAGGACCCGCTATAGATGTTTTCGGTTAGTTCAAAGCATCAGAAAGCTGGTAAACCCGCTCTTACACCCTTTAAAAATAGCTAACTGTCCCTGTGACGTCATCTGGGGGAGAAATTTTTAAAAAGAACCGACATGTGTAAACTTGGGTAAATATGGAGTTGACTATGGAACTGCGAAGAAAGGACGTGTGTGAGAAAGAGTAGGACGTGTGTACAGTCAGTGTGATACTGAATCTATCAGCAACTAGTCTTTGAGACTTGTTCGTGGGAGACGCCGCATTTATTGGCATGCCCAGTGCACTATGATGTCAATTACTAAATCAGTAATCACAGCTGAGAGAGGCACCGAGGTGTAGCGGCTAAACACTTGCCTGCGGATCGGAAGATCGTGAGTTGGATCCTGACGGAACTGTACTTTACAACAACAACAAAAATAACTGGACTCCCGTGTCCACCCAACCTTGAGGGGTACCAGCTAAAGTCCTGGGAAGTAAATGCAGCCGGCGTGATGCTAACCACATCACCCACCAAGAGCTGATTGCTCCATAAACAATTTAGGTTTAGCCCAATATAACCTCTATGCCAGAAGACTTGGAAAATGGACCTTTTTTTTTTAAACTAAGCTGAACAGCTTATTCTAAATTCGAAACCTCCACTTTTTAGTAAAGTATTTGCCTAGTACTGACAATAATAGTATGCTAAACCAGTTCTCCAAAGTGGTAGCAATCAAACGTGTACGACTAGTTTTGTGCAGACAAAAATACATGGCTGTGGATTTGCATATACCCTTCTAAAACAGTTACATTTGAATGAGGTGGATTTCGTATCTTAGTTCTTTTTCTTAGCGTTCACTGGCTACAAACTGCAGCGAAAAGTCCTGGTTGTTCGTCCACCTCTGGACTTTGGTCTTGCTCTAGGACCAGTGCGTTGAGTACACGTCTGTTTCATATATTTAGCTTATTTGTGTACAGGCTGCTGGTTCTTCGCCTCTCTGGCATATGAAGTCCGACTTCGAAGGAAAACGTCGAGCCTGTTTAGGTTAGCCAGGCTACCGGCTACAAACCTGTTTATAGGATGACTACGAATTTTAACCGAGGTGTAGATAGTGGCTCTATAACACTCGGTGATTGTGATATGCCTACCCTGAATGCAAAGACTCGACTTGTGCGGACTGTGGGGATGAAACCTATTATGGTTCAACGGATAAAAGGGCGATTACCAGCAGGCTATGTGGAGAGCTACGGGCAAGGCAAGGCATTTAAGAAGCCTTGATCATCTATTGCACCTAGGTCCATTTCCAGACGTCTGGACATTGTCCTGCCACTGGATCAAGATAGACACAGGCGAGAGAGGAAGGTCGACTCACTTAATCCAAGTCGTTGCGCGAGTCACTTTCATACAGTTATCATCCGATGAAACAAATTGGTCTTGGCATCACTACGTGTTCTTCAGCACCTCTAGTCCCAATGTTTAGTTTGAAAGTTTCATTTATTTGTTTTGTCTTATTTAATTGTTTTACTATATTGAGCAGCTGACCAGATACGTCGGGAAATGCGAGGCAATAAAATGTAATGTTCTCCCGTTGTGAATTTGAACGAAGAAGACACAAACATTAGAGTACACAATGCATTGCTGGCATATTGTGCTGTATCTTGTCAGGTGCATACTTTAGTAACAACTACAGTAGAACCTCGCTTAACGAGCACCTCTCATGACAAGACGAGTATTTCGCATAACGAGCAAAAAAAATTTTTTTTTTTAATGACTTGCTAAAGAAGCGACTTTTCGCATAAAGAGTGGCGAGGAGAGGGGAAGTCCCGAATTGTGCCCATGTTTCACCAGTCTGTGTTTAGCACTCGTTCCAGTAGCATCGTCTGTCGCTTGTGATCACACATTTTCTCGAACTTGTGTTGTATTCTGATATATGTACATGAATCCTCCAGGCCTACAAGATTACCTCTCTGAAGAATTTAAGTTCATCAGGATCCAGTTTCTGCCTCCCAATACCACTTCGTTTCTCCAGCCTATGGACCAGCAAGTTATTTCTTACTTTAAGAAGCTCTACACCAAAACAATCATTGAGCATTGTTTTCAGGTGACTGAAGGGACCAACCTCACTCTCAAAGAGTTTTGGAAAAATCACTTCCACATCGTTGCCTGTCTCAAGATGATCAAGGCGGGGGAAGGGGTTACCAAGAGAACCCTAACTTCTGCTTGGAAGAAGCTTTGGCCGGAGAGCGTTGTCGAATGTGACTTTGAGGGGTTCGAGACAGTATCTGTGGAACCTGTAGTCAACGAGATTGTGTCTTCGGCCACTATCATGGTATTGTAGGTGGATAACAGCGAAATCGAAGAGCTTGTGGAAGAGCACAGCCAAGAGCTGACCATCCAAGAGCTTCTTGAGTCGCATTGTGTTTCACAGCAAGAAGTTTTGGAGAAAAGTTTGTCAGAGGAGGAGGAGGTAACAGAAAAGCGACAATCTTATGACGAAATAGGAGAAGTGCTGAAAGCATGGCAAACTGTTGCATCTTACATTGAGAAATATCACCCTAATAAGGAAGTGGCTATGCGCGTTGCAAATTTATTTGATGATAATGCTGTATCCCTTTTTCACCAAATTTTGAAGCGTCTGCAAAAACACATGTCTCTGGATATCTTTCTAGTAAACAATATAATTAGCTATGTATCAAAATTATTTCGACTTTTTTTTTCTGCAAATCGAATTAGTATTCCAGGTGGGTTCGTTCCGCGTTTGAAGAAGAGATGAAGATGATTCACTCTCCTTAACAATATGTATATAATTTTCTTTGAATAAACGTTATACATAGCACTTTGTAAGTACTTTTTTTTTTTTTTTTTTACATGGAACCCATTATCGTATTTTACATTAATTTATATGAGAAAAATTGTTTCACATTACGAGTGTTTCGCTTAACGAGTATGATTCTGGGACCAATTATGCTCGTTAAGCAAGGTTCCACTGTAATTAAAATGGAAAAAATAAATTAATCCTTCGGACTGAAACACCAAATCGACTACATTTAAAAAAAATGTCTGCTTCACTTGGGTAACCGCAAGGTGAAGAGCATGTCCTTTTGTCTGTATAATTCTGGACTAAACCGGTTTATAACGACTGTCGAAGGATTTATTTATCTGCTTCATTTTAAGCAATAAAATGTGTTTTCTGTTGGTCACATCATGGCATGGAGAACTATCTGTCAGAGATGATTCAAAGTACAAGAGACAGAAGGTTGTGGCTAGACATGACTGCCAACACCACGTGGAATGGACTTTGAGAAAAAGAAGAAAACTCTTTACATTATCTTGGTTGGTTCAAATTTACTTCGAGAAGACATTGTTTTGAACGACAATAATGTCTGTTTTGATTTCTTTATGCATGACGCGTCCGGTAGAGAATTTGTTGCATCAGTCTGGCGATTCCTCAATGTGCCCGGAAGTGTTTTACCGTCTGCATTTTAACTTTATTGTTAACTCAGCGCATGCAAGGGAATATAGACTATTTATAGACACTCTTCACGGCCAAGGTTACAGATCCTGAGAGCTGCGACACCTTGAGTAGTCCCCTCCCGCCAACGCCAACCCCCAAATAAATCAGGAAGAGGGAAATTGACTATCAATGAATATGGGGGTCCGTTTTATCCCTTAACGTTTTCTAGGGAGGGCTCAGATGCCCATAAACTCCTAGAATATATGTCAAGAAACTAAGTCGCTTCTGTGGTATAGCGCCTAGACCATCAGCCTGAAGTTCATGGGTTCAAATCCCCGTCAAGTCTGATTTTTTTTTTTCATCTTCCACAGACGATCTGGGTTCCCACTTTGATCAAGCCTTAAATGAGTACAGGTCAAAGTCATGGAGAGTAAGGCAGCCGTTAGGATGCTGACCCATCGAGGTCTAAAAATGAATTTAGCACCGTGTGCCCGGTGCGCAAAAACATAGTCCTTTTCTTTCTTTACTTAAGTGCCCCAGTAACTATAAATAAAGCTATCTTTTTAAGTATTTATTGGTACAGCTTATTTTATTTCAGATAAATGTTATATTTGTTGGCCATTCAGTATTATTATTATTATTATTATATTATCATCATCATCATCATCACCAATGAGGATTTTTTCCCCAATAAAATTAAGGTACCGGTACTCACCAAATTGTCTAACAAAAAAAAAAGTGCGGGTACTAAACACAAAGTGTCTTTTACAATATCGCTGAAAATAATGCCTTAAAAATGTGACGTACCGTTGTGTATAACGATAAATATAAAGCTTTGATGTTTATTATACACTTAAACAAAACATACTCATTGCTCCCTCCCTAAAAAAAAATGTGTAATACCGCGAGCTTTGCGACATACAGAGATTATGATAGATAAAGAAAGACAAAATCTGCGTTCATCGAAGAGTTCAATGGGTATCGACAACAAGGCAGAGCAAGAAGACGGTGGAAAGAAGTTAATATGTCTGCAGATCTACAAACACTGGAATCAGCATCGCAAACAACTGAAAGAGGATTAGTTTATAACCACCCTGTGTGGGTTCCAGGGCCCTTTTGTAGAGAAAACAAAAATAGATCCACTGCCTACCTAAAAGCATGAATTAAGAGTCGACTAATTAGAAGCTTCCTTCGAAGTAGGAGTGCATTTGCATGAGAGGCAAGGAACCAACAATCTGCAAACAAATGAGTTAGATCTGTGAAACTGATGCACTCAGGTTCTGGAACAGGACAGCCGTCCAGAAGTGGATAAACAATCAGACCTTTCTGCAGAGTTTACAGCTGGTAAACGCGAAAAAGAGGAAGTAGTTCATATATGAATGGTGACGAGTGATATTGGCAGCAATAAAGGGGCCGTACTGTGAATAACAAGGAGAAGATTGTTTTATATGGATAACATTCTTTAGGCCATTTTTGTTTTCTATACAAAAGATGTGGTTTCTGATTCTTTAAAGATTTGTTTCCAGTTGCCTACTCCGTTGACGACGTCATCTACAAATGGAGCTATGGCCAAAGTGAGTCAATTGAGCTGGCACCAGATCTTCGCTTGTCGCAGTTCGATCTCGTTGGGTATCCAGCAACCAACTACACTGGTCGAGTCAAAGAAGGTAAATCACAAATATATTGTTGAACACTTCGGGTACAAAGAAGTAATTTAACACAAGTTATGACTAGAACAGTGTTCTTCAAGCCCTGATTCTAGAAAAAGCCCTGATGTGAGCCAAAATTTGCTCCTTTTTCACGTGATAAAAACAAAAAGTTCTCTTTTCCACGCGTTTAGGCGTATAGGGCATATAGGGCTTGACCTATATTTTTATAGACCTATCGGCACAAGATGGCAGACGTGGTCACCATCACGTCGGTTTTCATGTGATACACAGAAATAAACAGACGGAGAACTCTTGGGTCCATAAAATTTTGGAAAGTAAAGGCGGCCGGCGTGATATTGTTCACATCCCCTACCGAGTGCTGGTTGTTCTATAAAGTATAGGTCTAACCATATATGTCCAATACGCTCAAAATATGTCCAAAAGGTGCTTTACTTTACTTACTTTCTACCCCTCTTCCACCTATCTGTAGATCTACATTCGACTAACTTCGTTTTCGTTTTTCCTATATTCCAAAATATCTGCGAGTCTAATGTGTAGCGTAAAAATATGTGTATACAATTCTTTTTAAAAAATATCTTCTTAAAGCAATTTCTGATGATAAAACATTATTGCACATTAAGTTTGTCATTTTACAAAAGTCACTTTCATGTGATTTGTATTTGTATATTGTTCCGTGAATCATATTTCATCAGAAATTATTTAAATCCCCCAAAAAGATGAATTTATTCATCTCCCAGTTCGCTGTGACTTTTAATTGTCCCTATGAGAGCGATCTCATACCTTTCATAACTAACAGCTCTACCAATAACTCAAACGAAAGAGTGGGATGTTTACCAACTCTACCAATAACTCAAACGAAAGAGTGGGATGTTTACCAACCCCCCCCCCCCCCCCCCAGACTATTCCAAATGTGCTTCTTATTTGCACTGGCAATGAGACAGTCTGACGATGTGCATTATGTTTGTGGAAAGTGAGCTATAACTTATCGACAGTATGCGAGATAACTGCACCAAAGCTGACTAAGTTTAGAAAATTCTCTAGGGAACTCCGTGAAAATGAATTGGTGGTGCGTGGATTTTACGTTTCTGGATATTGTAGTGGTTCTGTTGTATCAAGTCTTTTTTGGCGATAGTGTGAACAACGACAGGGCAATTTTAGTAAATCAGCTTAAGTGCTAGATGTTAGGGAGGAGGAGATTTTGTTAAAATATTTTATTCTTTTTTCTTTTTTTTCCCCCACATCTCCCCCCCCCCCCCATTTTCTTCTTGTTCTTTTTCTTTTTGTTCTTTTTCTTCTTGTTCTTGTTCTTTTTCTTCTTCTTCCTCCTCTTCTTCTTCTTCTTCTTCTTCTTCTTCTTCTTCTTCTTCTTCTTCTTCTTCTTCTTCTTCTTCTTCTTCTTCTTCTTCTTCTTCTTCTTCTTCTTTTTGCTCTTCCTCCTCCTCTTCCCTCCTCTTCCCTATCCCACACACACACACACACACACACACACACATATATATATATATATATATATATATATATATATATATATATATATATATATATATATATATATACACACACATACAGTTTCTAATTTTGACTTTGTTGATTCAATATTAAATAACGATTCTATCTGAATCTTACACGAGCATGCATAAAGCATGGATAAATCGATTGTGTATTTACAGATTTATTCGTTCCTGAATGTTGTAAACGTGAACTCTACAATCACATGCACACTGATTATGTATACTTTTTTAGATTGCAGAAAACTAATTGTTCATATTGAAGTTTTTCTGTTCCGAAAGGAATGGAAAGACAGCTGTTATTTACTTGGAGTCCATAAAAGTAACATGTTATATTTTTTGTGAATTCCTATAAATAATATACTATTTCATGGGAAAGAAAAGTCGATTCTTTGGGCTGAAAAAGTTAGGTCTTTATCTTGGCGCTGTATATATAGGTTGTGGGTTTGATTTCGGCCTAGGTCGCTGGCTTTACCAGTGCAGGTGTTTTTCTGGTCGAGACCGAATGATACGAGATAAAACTAAATGCATTGAAAACGATATCCTCCCTCTTGTCATCATCATCATCAACTTATTTTGCCGATATAGGCCACATAGCGCTCACAGTCTACTCGTCAATTTTCTCTCCATCTATTCTATACAATCCGTTTGATATCATGAATGAAATCCAAACCAGCAACTCCGGCATACATCAACAACGTTCGTCTTAGGGGTTCTTTTGCTCCCCAGTCTATTTGTTTCCCATTTCAGTTTCTGTTTATTGATTCTCAGCTAACTTTTCTCATGTTTCCCCATATACTGCAATTTTTTTTCAAATTATACTCACTTTGTCACCATCTTCTGGTAATCTGGTAATCTTAGTTTCAGCTTCATAAGTTATGAGTTAGATTATCTTAACAGCACTCCGGACACATCTATAGGCGCTCAGATTCCCCTCTCAACATATGTGTCAGCATAGCGCGGTTATCGTGCCAGTCCTTTGTTGGTTAACAAGACTTCGTGTGCGGCCGGTGTGCTTCTCATGCTTTGGCTGTGCCGATCTTTACTCCCAATTCTCTTATTCTTAGCAGTGATGTGGACACGTTGCTTCCAAAATCCTCAGAAAGTCCTATCTCTCTAAAGGCAATGACAATGTCTGCGTGATCCATGGGCCGGTCATCTTCAATTAATACAGTACCTGCCAGTCTATCAGCTCTTTCATAACCAACAACGCCTATATAACATGGGACGAAAATGAAGGTAACTGCACACAATGGAGAGTTGTGCAATGACTCAAACCACTGTCTGCGTAACCAGCCTGCCCCGACCAGCCAGATCATGCTCAAAGAATTACTCAGCGCGCACACAAACACATGGGAATAGGCATGTGATTCTAGCCCCAGCTTCATAGCAAACAGGTAACTTCCATAGTTACTCTGCTTCTGTGCCAACAAACAACACAAAGACTGTTCATCCCTACCCCTTGTGAACAAATTGACTTGACACAGGCTGCAGTCTTAGCATATCCATTACTAGCATACACACACATTAAAAGCATAAGACAGCCATCAGAAGTTCAATCACAAAAAATCCATTTAGAAATGCAGTTCACCATCGACAGAAGAAGCAGTTACCAACAGATCAGCAGCGGCAAACGCGATTAATTGTAACTGAATAAGGCACCATCAAATCTTTGGCAACATGCCACGCCCCATTTTCTGAATCTACAGTTCACAACACCACCTTGGTCATGAAATCCTCAGCTCACATTGTCACGTCATGCTCTCAGCTCAGCAGCTGGGCGACAAATCTATACCCTTTCAGTCTACAAATAGAGGAACATGCAACGACCACGGTCTGTCAGGAGCAACAAGTTTGCCATGACTAAAAACAGTGACCGTGCCTATCGTCCATTTTTCTTATAGCTGTTGATACTAGAGTTTGTCCAATCATTTCTCTTATTTCTTCGCCTTTTTTTAATTCATCCCATTTAACATCCCACAGTATCAGGTTTATATACTCAGTATAACATGTTATTCTTTAAAGTTCGCAAAGAATATACTTCTCAGAGTTCCTATAAGAAGACAGCCCTGGGAACTCTGTGACCTGCATGATTGTTTACCAGTCCTGGGGTCCTGCGTTCGAATCTTAAAACAAAAACTAGGATATTTGTATGAGGCTCGAACACATTCTTCCCCGTGTGAGCTCTGGAGCCCCATTGCGGTTGTGGCGTGAGAGACCTACTGTCTCCATACCAAGCATGTCGTAAGAGTCTACTTTTTAGGGGTTTCCTTTAAAGCCGGAGTACATCTGTGTCAGTGGCAAGAAGCCTGCAGCTCTACACATAACTAAACCAGATCTCTAAAAACTAGTGTGCACTCAAAACTTAAATTCTGAACTAGACAAACATCCAGAAGTTTGCGAACAACCAGAAATTTCCTCAGAAAAGCTGGTAAACGGGAAGAAGAAGAGAGTACATTCCTAACTGTTTTTCATCACCCTACCGAGTTTGTGAATCAATCCATCGCCTCAAATTTGACATCCAGGGAAAATGATAGTGCTGCAGATTTAACGAAAATTGCAGCTAGCATTTCCTATTACTGAAATAACGAAAAACTGACAAGACTAGGGGCTTCAGTTGCGAATATTAGTGTTATTTTGGCAATGGAAATGTAGAAATGTCAAAAAGAATTTTAGCTGTTCTGTTTTAAACATTAACTGAATATTTGTGAAGAGCTTGGACTATTCGAAGCCTTGGGCTGTAGTGTAAGTCTGTTGTCTGTCTGTCTGCCGTCCGTCTGTGTATTTACATGTCTATTTAACTGTATGTCTTTCTATATACTTCTTTATCTGTCTCTGTGTCTATCTGCTCGTTTGTCTCCATGAGTCCATCAGTCCATCTGACTACCTGTCAGTTTGTATGTCTGTCTAATCTCATTTACATAATGGCCCGTGTCAAAATTTACAATTAAATGTAAGCAGAGTTCAGGTTTTCGAACTGAAGCGGCATACAGCCTTATCTGCCTTTTTATATCATGATCATCAGGTGCCTTGCCGACTGGCTTGGGCGATCATGCCTCTTCACAATCCGCTATCTCCTGCAGCATGTATCAGTTCGTTATCTGAATTCGTTATGTTTCGAGTCATGATTTCCTAGAGAAAATATAGCTGTGGTTTCCCTTTACCTTCATCTGGTTTATGTATGGTTTGACTCCAATAGCCTTTGTCTAAAGAGACATACCCTGCAAGGCAGCAGGGGGAGAGGTTATGGCGCCTCTTACCCGCTGATGGAAATGTCGTAGAGTTTTGAGGTATTTTATTGAGTTAGCTATCCCATTAACTAACTCACCTCCTCTCAATGTCCAACACCTGTTTTGGTCCGCGGCCACTTATTCAATATATTCGTTTGTTTAGTATACATTCTGTATATGTATACATAGTATACATACTTGTTTTGTATACATTCACTTAATATTTCCGTCTAAATCTGGATTTTACTC